ATGTTGCTCTCTCCCACCTACAAGTTTGTTATTTATTTGTCACTTTACTGCAATATAAATGTGTCACTATTAGCTACAAACTAATAATTAGCTGCAAGCTAGTAATTCTAATAATATTAGTCATATATGTTAATATATATATTCCATAACATTATTATATAACTATCCCTATTATGGCTTTTAAATTCTGTTAATTTTATACTTAAGGGAAGATAAAATAAATGTAAAATAAGGAGGATGCTGCTCTCTCCCACCAAATAATTCATTATTTATTTATCATTTCACTGCAATGTAAATGTGGAACTGTGACTCCTGTGGGGTTGTGTTTCCCTGATGGCAATTTGGGTCCAAACCCTGGAATTGGGGAGGAAATGAGGAGGTTCCAGAGCCCACAAATTTTAAAAATATAGTGATATATATATATAAAGCAAAATAGAAGTTTTAAAGCAGTAGCTAGTCCTTCTTCTTAACCTTCTTTTTCACAAGTTTAAATAGTATTTTGTAATTAGTTAGAAAAGTCTGCATTGCAGGCTTCAAATAATTAATTATTAGGTTAAAAGTAAAAATAATTTGTGTCATTTCTTAATTAGACAGTTTAACCTTAAAAGACCTAACTTATTGCTAAAATACTACATAATACTATAAAATTAATATAATAGTATTATACTATATAATACTATAAAACTGCAATATAGATAAGAAATAATGAACATCCAAGTCCAAACACAAAATACATCTCAAACTTTAATCCCAACCCTAACACAAACAAAACAAGAAGATAAAAATGCAATAATTATTGAGCCAGCGGCCTGAGCCAAAAATTCCCAATTTCAGGGCTCATTCTGCATTTCCCAGGGGAGAAGCAGAACTTCAGCACTCACAGATTATTTCAAAAATCAGCAATAAAACCATCACCAATGTTCGGGGTAACAGCTGCTGTTTAATTTGAGGTTTTTGTAAGAGGAATTGCAAGCGATTTCTGAGCCAGGTTTGTGGATAAAGTGGAGAATTATCCCCTTGGAAAAGTGGGAAAAGCATTCCTTGCTCAACAGCTCCTCCTCCTGCTCGCCCGAAGCGTGAAAGCATCAGGGCATCAATTTTTATATTTTTTTATATTTTTATATTAGTTTTTATATTTTGGCTACAGAAAGAAATAATCTGATCCTGCAAACAGGAATTCACTGTCTGTTCTGTGTTCCAATGCACAGCAGGTGTGGGTTATAAACAGAATAAACCTGGGAATAATAAATAATAAATCTTCCCAATTTTCCCAAAGCAGTATTCAGCTTTTCCAGGCAATTCTTGTGGTACCCAGAATGAAAATAGAGTGAGATAATGGAGAAACTCTCACTATTTGCTAGCCTGAATAATACCAGCATTTTTATCGTTTTTATCATTGTCATTTCTTGCTTGTATTAAATAAAATTCAATAGTTCTGATTGGAGGAAGCCTCATTTTGTGAATGTATTTACAAGAATAAACTTAATATAACTTAATATATATAATATATTTTTATATATAGATATAAAATATAATATATATAATATATATAATATATATAATATATATATTATATATATTTATAAATATATATATATATAATTAATATTTACAAGAATAAACTTAATATAACTTAAATAAAAATAATAGCAGTGAAAAACTTTAATTTCCTGCAGCTGCAAACTGAATTTACCATTATTTCACCCTGGGGAGGAGCAGTGAGGACACAACACTGATGGGTCACCAAAAATCATTACAAGAAATGTTTAATTTGATGGAGATTTCCTTGTAAAAATACTCCCAAAATCTATAGGGTGTCTGTTCTGTAATATTCTCTGGGATGCTAAAATTTGGGGGGTGTTGCTGTTGCTATTT